GCTGGTGTTTCCCTGAGACCATGCCCCATCCAGCTTGCAGGCCCACCCAGGCTGTTTCCAGTGGCTTCTCTATACAAATGTCCCATCTTAGCTTATGTTGTGGACTTTACTAAGATCTCTCAAAGGTTCACAAAACCCAAACAAGCAGCATCTAGCCCGAGTGTGCCCCATATCTTGATAAGCAGCCTCAAGCCCTGCACTAGTGGCAGCCAGCCTCAGTTCACAGCATAGTGTGCCCCAGGAACCTCCAAGACCCACAAGTGGACTTGTGCACAAAGATCACTTTGTAGCACATACCACATGGCACCAGGCAGGGCACAGGGAGCAACTGACCTTGGCCTGCAGCAGAGGCACTCTGAAGAGCCTCTAGAATCAACACCACCAGTGGCCAACTTCAGGCCACACCAGAGCACCACCCAACCACCTCCACAAAAGACACACTCAGAGGGAAGACTGGGCAGGCACCAGAGCCCTGATAGAGCAAATCCTGAGCTGTATGGTCAGCCCCTGCACAACAGCTATTCCACGGTAATCATGGTCAGTCCTCACACCCAATCAGCCTGATGGTCAATCCCACATACTGACGTGGAAACAGCAGTCAAGGCTCAACTGCAACAGGAAAGAACATACAACCCATAGATGTGACAGACCTGGAGAACCTGGCTCAGGTGACCATGGAGACTGTGCCATTGGGCCCCACAGTACACCTATTACATAAGGCCACTATACTAAGACTGGCAGACATAGCAGCTCTACGTAATACACAGAAGCCAAAATGGGGAGACAAAGAATCATGTCCCAAATGAAAGAACAGAACAAAGCTACAAAAACAGATCTAACATGAAGACAAGCAATCTACTGGATGCAGAGTTCTAAACAGTGGTTATAAGGATGCTCAGTGATCTCAATGAGAACTTCAACAAAGAGGTAGGAAACATAACAAAAAGTCAGTCAGAAATGAAGAAGACAACTGAAATAAAATATTATATTAGAGGATTCAGCAATAGATTAGATGAAGCAAAGGGTCCAGTCAGATTTGGAAGATAAAGTAGCAGAAAATGCCTACTCTGAACAGCAAAAAGAAAAAAATAATCCAAAAAAATGGAGATATTTAAGGGGTCTCTGGGACAACATCAAGTGTGCCAACATTGGGATCACAGGGGTACCAGAAGGAGAAGAGAGCAAGCAAGGAATTGAAAACCTATTTTAAAGAATATGACAGAAAACTTCCCTAACCTGGCAAAGGAAATAGACATACAAGCTTAGGAAGCTCAGAGAGTCCCAAACAAGATGAATCCAAAGAGGCCCACACCAAGACACATCATAATTAAAATGCCAAAGTTTAAAGACAAAGAGAGAATCTTAAAAGCGGCAAAAGAAAAGAAGTCAGTTACCTACAAGGGAGTCCCCGTAAGACTGTCAGCTGACTTCTCAACAAAGACTTTGCAAGCCAGAAGGGAGTGGCAGGAAATATTCCAAGTGGTGTAAAGCAAGGACCAACAACCAAGATTACTCTACCCAGAAAAGCTTATCACTTGAAGTCAAAGTACAGATTATGAGCCTGCCAGATAAGAAAGTACTAAAGAAGTTCTCAACCTCCAAAGGGACTTCTAGAAGGAGCAGGAGGAGGAGAAGGAGGAGGAGGGGAAGGTGAAGAGGAAGGAGAAGAAGAAAATATAAAAAATATTAATAATAAAATGGCAATAACTACATACCTATCAATGATTACTTTAAATGTAAATGGATTAAATGCTCCAATCAAAAGACATTGGGTGACTAAATGGATAAGAAAACAAGACAAGAAAACATATGCTGCCTATAGGAGACTCACTTCTGATCAAAGGACACACACAGACTGAAAGTAAAGGGATGAAAAAGATACTTTAAAAAAATTGAAAAAAAAAAAGCAAGGGTAGAAATACTTACACAAGACAAAATAGACTTTAAAACGAGACATAGAAGGATCCAGTAATCCCACGTCTTTATTTATCTGAAGAAACCCAAAATACTACTTCAAGAAGACATGTGCATCCATATGTTCACTGCAGCATTGTACAATATGTATTATGGATATTACTCAGCCATAAAAAAAAAAGGGAATGAAATCTTGCCATCTGCAACAACATGGATTGGCCCAGAGGATATTGTGCCGAGTGGACCAAGTCAGACAGAGAAAGATGAATGCCATATGATTTCACTTATATGTGAAATCTAAAGAACAAAATAAATGAACAAACAAAACAGAAACAAATTTATAGATAGAGAACATTTTGATGGTTGCCAGATGGGAGGGGGTTTGAGGGTGGGTGAAAAAAAAGGAAAGGGATTAAGAAGTACAAATTGGTTGTTACAAGTTGTTATGGGGATATAAAGTACAGTATAGGGAATATAGTTAATAATATTGTAATAACTATGTATACTGTAAGATAGGTACTAGATTTATTGGGGTGATCACTTCATAAGTTAAATAAATGTCTAATCACTATGTTTTACACCTGAAACTAATATAATATTGTATGTCAACTGTAACTAAAAAATAAAAAATTATATATTTTTAAAAAGAATAAAATGTAGCTTAGTGAGAGAATAAAGGTAACATTTATATTTTATGACAGAGGAATTCATATAAATAACTGAAAGGGAGAAGAACTTTTACAGAGAAATGATGTATTCTAGACAGAGTGAATTTGAGATGTTGACAGGACATCCTCGAGACACTGTCCAGTATAAGACTGGAAATGCTGATTTTGTAGTCAGGGAAGAAGTGTGGCTTAGAGGTGTGAATTTCAGTGTCATGATCTTAGAGGTGATATTGAAGTTGTGGCAGACTAGTAAATTTCCAAGGAAAAGTATCTAAGGTGAGTTAAGATGAACTCCCGAATATTGATGAAATCAAAGGAATCCAAAGAAAAGGAAAAAGTAAAGGATTCTGAGAACTCCAGTGAATTTGACAAAGAGCCTTTAAAGGCTCGTCATTGGTGTATTTCAAGAGAGAAGGGGTGAGAAAATTGGAGGCAATGGATTATCGTGCTTTGGAACATAATTCCTGGGTTCAATTTCCAGCTCCATCATGGGATCTTGGGCATGTCATTTAACCTACCTGAACCTCATTATCTTTATAATACCTGTCTCAAAGGTTTGTTTGAGGATTAGATATTATTAGAAGAGTAGCACACATAGCAAACATTCCATTCATGGATGTCATTGACCTTTGTAAAAGCAATTTTAGTAAAGTATTAAGAGGAAGATCTTGGAGTCCAGAGGAAGAAGAGAGGAGTAACATTATGCCTTTGAAATTTGAAGAAAAAAATTTTTTGGATAAAAGTAAACTTCCAAGTAGCCCTGAGAAATCACCTGAGGTTAGATAACTTGAACTTTCTTTTCATTTTCCAAAATGAGAATGGAGAAAAAATATATTTAATTACAGATATGGAAGACTATTACAGTGTCAAGGACTAGAACATAATACTGGTTAGACTATCATTTCTATGATCCTTTTTTCTCCAGTATCTTTGGATTCTGGATCATTTGGTAAAAAGTTCAATGGAGTAAAATACACAAGAAGTCTTAAAATTAGATAACAGAAAGTAGCTATATACTAAATATGAAAATTAGGTATCAGTAGACCTTGGAGTACTGAAAGTATAGAAGATTGAGTTCAAAAAGAGAGATTGCAGAATCTCAGATCTTAGAAGTAAAGCAGTTTCATATGTGATCTCAATGCATCACTATTCTTTTGAATTTATGAGGTGACTCATAAAGTATACATACCAGAGTGGGAAAAGTGTTAGTTCACCGTTCCTTTGTGGTTCACTTTTGCTTTCATTATCGATATTCTCTTCTTCAACATGTGGATTATTTGCAGGAGGTTTTATAAGCCACTTATCCATTTTATGACACTCAGCTTTTGTCTATATCTAATATCTGTATCCAGTGTGCATGCATTCATTTAATAGAGCATGGGTAAGCAGCAATACATCACCGTAGACTGGTAACCAGCCAGTCAATGGTAGAACTGTGGTCTGCCACTTTGCATTGGTGGAGCTCCTATTCTCACTGTCCTGCAGGCTATCCTGTTCATCCTACATGACTATTGCATCACCTGACTAAGTGGGAGTGCCCATGTTAGCTTGTGCATGAATATTAATGTAGCATATTGTATTAACCCTTCTTTAGGTCAAAACCAAATATATTGAGAATTTCAGACTTTTTTATACCCCAGTGGATTTCCTGTATGCCCCCTGGGGTGGATACATTCCATTTTGGAATCTACTGCTTTTGTAAAGAGATCTTAGAAGAGTCTTACGGAGGACACTGATGTGGCCAGATGGGAATTTTTGATCATTCACCCAAGTTTAGCAGGCGAGGCTGTATTAAGAAAGACCAAAGGCAGGAAGGGCAGATAAGAGGTTATTATTTGTTGGCCAGGCTGGAAATTGTGAGGTGTGACAGGAGGGATGATATGATAGAATGAATCTCAATGGTCAAGATTTGGTGAGTGATTGGAAGTATTAATAGCTATTGAGGTAGGAAAAAGAATGAAGGGTGACTTTTTGGTTCCTGACTAAAGCACAGTTTTTGTGTTTGTCTTGTTTTGTTTTGTTTTCTTTTTAAAAATATATTTAGAACAAAGGGTGAATACTTAAGTGCTGTGTAACTCCTGGTTACTTTTTCAGGAAAACAGAAAAAGTCATTGGTATCACTCTTCTTTCCTGATATCATGCAATATTTGTGGCAGCATTTCCATTCATTCTATAAGCATTCCCCTGCAGCCCGGATCTGCGCTCGACACTGATTCTTTGCAAATATCAGATAAAGTTATTCTCAGGTCTACATTCAATCCTTATTATTTTCCCGAAGTGGAAAGGGAATAATTTTTCATCATAAGGTTAATAGAAAGGATTGTCTTCTCAAAACACGATAAATGTTCCATGGAAATGAGGTGACTTGCATTGTGTCTCTTGTGTGGCGCTCACTGCTGCTGCATGTCTTGTCTTCAGCTGGGATGACAGCAGCTCGGTGAGCAGTGGTCTCAGTGACACCCTGGATAACATCAGCACTGACGACTTGAACACCACATCCTCAGTGAGCTCGTACTCCAACATCACAGTCCCTGCCAGGAAGACCACTCAGGTGAGACTCACCCTCTATCTTTTTCCAGTGCTTCCGCCAGTTTTCTTCCCAAATTATTTTATGTTTGATGTAAATATAGCACAACTGCTTAATCTGAGATAATTGCATAAATTGAAGCAGCTTGTGATATATATATTTTTCTATTGAATGCAATCTAACCCAGAAAGACTTGTGTTGCCATGTCTCTCTTTATCATATTGATATATTTGTTTAAAACCTAAGCTATTTTACTACTCTGATTTTGAATAGTTCTTGATTAATTTTATGTTTATCTCTGAAATAAATTCCTGGATCCCTTGAGGATGGTAAATCAAGAATAGATATTAGATAATTAAGTTTTATTTTGTCTTATTTTTCCTGTTAAATTTGACGTAGAAAATTCCTTCCCCTCTGGAGTGTTTAATTGGGGTTTTCTGCACATATTTATTCTGACATTCTCTAAAATGTACAAGTGAGAATTATGTGGCTAAAATTAACAAAACCTAAATGAAGACATAGATAAAAATAGAGGAGTCTTTGGAATTCTTTTGAAAAATAAATCAGTGCTTTTTTTTTTTAATCATTCAACTGAAAATACATTCCAGTGCCTTATTCTCACTTCATAGATTTTATTTTTCTGCACAAAGTTTTTCTCTGTTATTTTCTTCATAGCTGAAGACAGACTCAGAGAAACGTTCTACAACAGATGAGACATGGGATAGTACTGAGGAGCTGAAAAAAGCAGAAGAGGACTTTGACAGCCATGGGGATGGTGGCGGCAAGTGGAAGGGTGTTCCCTCGGGACTTCCTGAAGACCCCGAGAAGGCAGGGCAAAAAGCTGCCCTGTCTGTTTCACAGACAGGTTCCTGGAGAAGAGGCATGTCTGCCCAGGGAGGAGCGCCATCTAGGCAGAAAGCTGGAACAAGTGCCCTCAAGACTCCTGGTAGGCTGGTCACTTGGGCAGAAGTGTTTTCATTTATTGTCTCCATTTGATCTTTGTTCTCTTTCATAATAGCTTTCTTTTTTATTAAATCATATTCCTCTTCCTAGAGTTCAATGCTTTTTTATATGTAAATTTCACATACTTTACAATAGAAATCAACATAAATATATCAATCTAGGCATTCTCTAGCAAGCACTGGCAGAAATGGGGGCGATTGAATGTCTTTATTTTGTCACAGTCATTCCTGATCATGTGGAAATAAAATAAGGCTGCTTAATAAAAATAAGATTGCTTTCGTTCTGACTTCCTTATGAAAGTTTGGAATATTTATGTGAAGTATGCCACAATCTTTCACTACCAACTCCAAGAGTCGAGATCAGTCACACTAATCTAGTGGGTTAGAAGGCTGTAGATTTGAAACATCATTTGTATTAGACTTAGTGAAAGAATTCTGCCAAATTGTACTATCCTTTTTTTCTGAAGATTGTCTTCCTAACTTTTAAGTGATGCTTAATTTTAAATAGTGCCCCCTGCAGTACTGATATAACAGACTACTCCAAAAATAATCATTTCACAGATATTCAAATGAATTATTGTTCTAGCATTCTGCTTGATAAGATTACATGCTATCTATATAAAGGAAGAGTTACAACATATAAAATAATAATAAATAGCACAATTATGTTTTCATTTATCTCCTTGTTCTCCCATCACATTTCTCTAACAGTTGTATTTTTGTAGCATTTTACTCAATATATTAGTGTGCACGCCTATTTAGATCTAAAACAATAAATAGGTTGAAGTAATATAAAGATGTATCCACATTTGGCACAGTGTTTAAAGAAATATTATGAAATCAAAATGTGCAGGCAAATAAATTTGTGAATTTCTCATTAATTAGGGAAAACTGATGATGCCAAAGCTTCTGAGAAAGGGAAAACTCCCCTGAAAGGGTCGTCGTTACAGAGGTCTCCCTCAGATGCAGGAAAGAGCAGTGGAGATGAGGGGAAAAAGCCCCCCTCAGGCATCGGAAGGTCGACTGCCACTGGGTCTTTTGGATTTAAGAAGCCAAGTGGAGTAGGGTCATCTACTATGATCACAAGCAGTGGAGCAACCATAGCAAGTGGCTCAGCAACGCTGGGGAAAATCCCCAAATCTGCCGCCATTGGTGGGAAGTCCAACGCAGGGAGAAAAACCAGTTTGGACGGTTCGCAGAATCAGGATGACGTTGTGCTGCATGTTAGCTCCAAGACTTCCCTACAATACCGAAGCCTGCCCCGCCCTTCGAAATCCAGCACCAGTGGCATCCCTGGCCGAGGCGGCCACAGATCCAGTACCAGCAGTATTGATTCCAATGTCAGCAGCAAGTCAGCTGGTGCCACCACCTCGAAACTGAGAGAACCCACTAAAATTGGGTCAGGGCGCTCGAGCCCTGTCACTGTCAACCAGACAGACAAAGAAAAGGAAAAAGTAGCAGTCTCAGATTCAGAGAGTGTTTCTTTGTCAGGTTCCCCCAAATCCAGCCCCACCTCTGCCAGTGCCTGTGGAACACAAGGGCTCAGGCAGCCAGGATCCAAGTATCCTGACATCGCCTCACCGACATTTCGAAGGTAAGAATGCATAAAATGATGCTGGCACAATACAAAATGCTGTATCTTAGGATATTTACATATGTGTTCTATAGCCTATTTATTATGTGTATATATTATATACATTATATGTATATATGTGTATTATATACATATATGATAGACTATATGTCTTCTAAGATACATATAAGAATCTTTTATTCAGTTTCTGAGTACAATGAGTTTTTTAGAAACTGATCGTATATCTAGCTAACAAAAAAAAAATGAAACTCATTTGGAGAAATGCTCAGATTTTTCAGTTTCACTATTGTACCATTAGTAACACAAACAGCATTTGTAAGAGGCTTAAAAGCAGATGGCAATACCTAGGGATAGTGAAAAAAATAAAGTAATAGCTTGTACATGTCTATTGATTTACATCTCTTCTTTCCATAATGAAAAACAAAACAAAACAAAATGTATCTTCATTACTACTGGCATTTATTTCCAATGTTCATTCTCTTTCTGACTCTTAATGAGTTGATGATCCTGAAGGTAGATGAAGTTGTGTTCCTTGTAACAGATTACATTGCCCAGATTTGTACAGTTCCGTATCTTGACCTATTTACGAAAATCAAGGTACAATATGGTTGACAGAATTTGAAAACAATAGGATGGTTGGTGCAGGATAACAACTCAGCAATGGGCTAGGATTCCTAACTCTTCATCAGCTTTCTTTGACATGACTCTGGTAAGAAGCATGGCTTGGTTCCTGCACTGAGACTGTCTTTGGTATTGAATATGTGAAGTTCTGCTCTAAGCTATTACTGTTTTTAAATAACAGTATGTCTTAAGTGACAGGAAATTACATACAGTTCAAGACTTGGGACAAATAGCTAAACCTCTCTGGGTCTGTTTCCTCATTTGTGAAATGATAAGAGTATGATTTATAGTCCATTACATGTTAAGTATTTTTAATGTTTGTCTTTATTATACTGACTAAACAAAGAACCTTGATTTCTGGGAAAGAAAGGGTCTTAAAACATTTATTTTTATATTCCAAGCAATCTCAAATGCAAAATTGTTTTTAAAACCTAGAGGGTGTATTCCTCAGTAGAAATACTAATCCTGAAGAGCTGGGTTTTTGAAATGTTGATTCTCAGTGGAAAGAATAAACTATGGCTTGTAGTGAGAGTAGATATTTCTGTCGCTTAAGCCAGTAGTGCCCTCCAGTGGCCCATTACCTATGAAACAATTTCTCATATTCGTCATCAAATATTTCACTATAGGAAATATGGATTTTATTGCAACTTACTTAGTAATCATTATACCATTACTTCATATCAGTTTATTTCCATATTTACATAAATTTGATTATATCATCTTCATTTACAAAACTAAAATGTTTTCTGAACTAAGCTCCAACACCTAACTTAGCACCAACTATGCTTCAAATCACGAACAGAAATATGTATTTGAACAGCACTGGCAACTAGCATAAAACGCTTGGCCTTTCTTGGGGGAAATACAGACAAACTGACGTTGCTGGTAGTGTCCGATATTATTTCTAACCAACTATCTCTGTCTGACAGTCACTCAGGCCACCAGATATGCAACATAACGTCCAAAACCTTGCCTTAAGCAATCCTTTTAAATTTTGAACCAAATGTGAAAATGAAAAAATATACATATATGTTTGTTATATACCGAATGCGTAGAAGTTGTTTCATTATAATGGTTCTGTAAATAGGTAACAGCAAGTTCAGTCAAACTCCTTCATTTTTGTGAAAGATTCTCATGATTACCTAAATTAAGAAAGCCAGGGATTGTCATGCTTGGTTTACTTTTTATTTGCCCACTTCCCCCAGCCCCTGGGAGGTAACCCAGTATCGACTTACCCTGATGGTGTTAAGAGAGATTTTTAGCAGTAGATTAAAAAGTTCAAGCTTATAAAGTTCATTAACATAGAGGCAGGAAGTGCTTGGTAGCTGGGTACACCAAAGCACACTTGGCTCTGTGTACTGAACCCTAAATATTAATGTGGATATTAGTTTCTTGGAACAACTGAAGTTGTTATTTGTTTTTCTTTTAGGTTGTTTGGTGCCAAGGCAGGTGGCAAATCTGCCTCTGCACCTAATACTGAGGGTGTGAAATCCTCCTCAGTAATGCCCAGTCCTAGTACCACATTAGCACGCCAAGGCAGTCTGGAGTCACCGTCGTCTGGTACGGGCAGCATGGGCAGCGCTGGTGGGCTAAGTGGCAGCAGCAGCCCTCTCTTCAATAAACCCTCAGACTTAACTACAGATGTTATAAGCTTAAGTCACTCGTTGGCTTCCAGCCCAGCATCGGTTCACTCTTTCACATCAGGTGGTCTCGTGTGGGCTGCCAATCTGAGCAGTTCCTCTGCTGGCAGCAAGGACACTCCGAGTTACCAGTCCATGACTAGCCTCCATACGAGCTCGGAGTCCATTGACCTCCCCCTCAGCCATCATGGCTCCCTGTCTGGACTGACCACAGGCACTCACGAGGTTCAGAGCCTGCTCATGAGAACGGGTAGTGTGAGATCTACTCTCTCAGAAAGGTGAGCTTTCCTGGAGGCACTGATGAAGCCCCCACCCCCTTCTTCCCACACGGTGCCTATCCCCTCCCCCATTAAATCCCCTCCATTTCAGTGCGATTTTCAAAGGGACATAACGTTGATGAGACTGGGCCCTTTATTTGCTCCTATTACCAAGTTTGCAGGAGAAAAAAAATCATTAAAGAGGATAAATGGATAATTAAGTTTCTCAATATGAGTGTATATATATATATATATATCTCCATTCATCCGATAGGCAATTTGAGTAAAATTCAAAGCATGCATTTATGTATTGAATGATGTTTTCTTGAGTCATTTTAATAATTTGGCTTAAGCTCCAGGACAACACAGCTCTTTATGATAATTTAAGCATTTTTAAAGACCGAATTTAAATGGATTCTACAATTATGCTCTGAGCAATATGTTAATTTGCTTTATTAGCACTTCTATGGAAAAATAGCATATGAATCACTGGGGAAGCCTAACTGAATTGGAAAAAAAATCAATTATCTGATATGAATTCTTAGAGAAAATTATACTAACACCAGTGGCATTTTTAATAGGCTTCTTGGAAATGTATTACATTACATGGATTTCCCATTGGTTTAATGAGCTATTATTTTTTTCGTTCAAAATGAAAAACATAATGAGACCTTATTTACCTAATATACTTACCAAAAAGCATCAGTGTTGACCAAAATGGCTCTAGCTTCTCTCCCCTCGAAATTCCTTTCTCAGATATTTTAGCACTGACTCTTCCTCTCAGGAACATGTCTTAAAACTGGCACTTTTTTTCCTAATGAAATTAATGCCATTTGTTTCTTGGCACACCTAAATCTTTCAAAAACAGCCTTGGCCACATACCTTAATTGTATTACTTGGGAAAGCACTACTAGTCACTGAAAATACTTGATAGCTTTCACTAAACTTTTGTTCAGTCTATTATTGATGCTGATATATTGCCTTTTTCCAGACTTCCGGCCTTACTCCCAAAATAATTTTTTTAAAACATCAACTGAAGCCCTTACCTAGACTCTCATTCCAGTGTATCAGTTGTCCCTTAATCTAAGAGTTTCCACTGCTCTTCCCTGTTGCTCTTGCCTTTGCGAAATGCAAATCAGAGCACCATATTGCTGCCATCCTACCTTACTTCCCACTCCCCTAAAAATGGTACATGGGCAGCCATCCAAATGAAACTTGCTCTTGATAAAAAAATTTTAAAGCTAACTGTAGCAATGATGCTTGATAGTGCTTACAGTGGACTGCTAATTTCAAAATATGTTTTTCCTCATAGAAAAAGAAAACAAAAAACAAAACAAAAAAAACTGTGCCAAGAGAAACAAGACAAACAGCTGGGTGACAGAAACTAAAATGCAGGCACTTGCATCCATTTCCCTTCTGGTTTTGTCATTATAGGCAGCATATATAAATATCAGCTGCATATACAAAAACACTGATATAAATACTGTTTCATTTCATTTTTGATCTAAGAAATTAGGCTTCCTACAGCATTTTAGATTTGAGTTTCAGCACTTTCAAGGTGAATGGGTATCTTCATATGTCATTTTCAAAACTTCTAACAAACCAATTATATTGAAAATATGTTAACAACCTATAGTTTTAATGCATGTATCTTAGATATGTGTCCTGATATGTGAGGAATCCAAGTAGCATTTTTACAACAAAACCAAGCACACTGCTAATAGGCTATTCTTTATTAACCAAAATCACCCTCCAAAATAGTGATTAATTTTTAATCATAAACATGACTGCAACAAGTTGACCATTTAACCAACAACAAATTTCTTTGGCATCCAGATTAAAAACTCAAGTAACTGTTGTAGCTAGGTAACCCACAAATCATATCAGATGATAAACTGATAGTTTTAGCAAATATAACATAAATGCAATGTTGATATTTTACTTGATTTATATTGCAGCAGAAATCAATCAATATACATTTTCAGTATATTGATTGGCAAATATATGGTTATTATTCTCCTTAAGCAAATCTTTTTTTTTTTAATTGTTGTTCAGTCTTTGAAATAGGCCAGTTTAACAGATTGGAATGTTCTAATATTAAAAATAGCCAGATAAACAATTTTTCTAAAATTCCACTTTAAATAGCTAATTTTGAATAAGTGAATGTTTTGCCTTTGATTCTTAGCAAAATGTATTGATGAATATGAAACCGCCAAAAAGTAAAATACCTTTATATGATACAAGTATTAATTTGTTCCTCCCACTAAATTACTGCATTGAAATAATTTTTTATATAAAAAGTTGTATTTTTTTCTTTCTTGGGAACAAAATTGAAAGCAATAGCAGTTCATTCTAATCCTTTAAAGTGTATTCAAGAATGTTTATGACATATTGAAGAGAAAATTAGATCCTATCTGAGAACCTGGCTTAATTATAATTAAGCAGTCAGCAGAATGTAGGGAATGCTAAGGAAACCAAAGAGCCATACCTGAACGAAACTGTGCTAAAATGTAAATATTTAACATAAAGTAATTATAGAGATGTCATAGGTAACCAAGGAAATCATGAACTTACTTGGTTATCTACAATTTCAGAATACTTTATTGATATTCATATCCTAGTGCTATTAAGTCAAGAGTTTGTCATAAAGATTTTAGTTTGTGTTGAAATTCCTCATCATCAAACTATCATAAAATATAATGAAACAATAAGTACATGAATAAACAAATAATAAAATAAGCTCATTAACAAGTTTCCCTCTAGTTGCTCTAGATCATTGGTGACCCTTGGGCCATAACTAGTTCACATTTCTTTTGTTTGTTTGTTTTGTGACCTAACCAAACTTTAAAAATAATTTAAGTAGTAACTAACTTCAGAAGGTTCTGGCTTATCTTTAAATGTCAGATCTGGTAACTCCATTTCCACTGTCCTGCACAGCATCTATTGGCCCGAGACAAACAGCAACTGTCATCTTCAGACTTGACCAAAATGCCCCCTTCACTCATTTCCACTCCTTGCCTGACCCTGGCAGGCATGTGAGTTTATGGCATTTCAGGGTTTGTGGAAAGTGTCTACAGTATAAAATCAATAATATACAGATTCAAAAAATATTTCTACTTAAAAAGTTCTAACTTATATTGGTAAATTTAAATTAAGTTTTTCTGATTTTTCTTTCATTAAATTGTCTGCATCATATAAATCTATTTTTAAATAATTAATAACATTGGCAAAACAATATCAATTTTCAATTTCCTCTGCAAATTAAACTTTAATAAATTTTCACACATGAAAGTGATACTCTTTAAAATGACTTATAACCATATTAATGCTTTAGCACAATGTAGTTCATATTTAAAGTTTCCTCATATTTGTTCAGTGTGAGTCCTTTCTGTTTGTTTATCCACATGACTAAAAAAAAGAAATTTTTCTATAGTCAAGATATATAGTAGAACTGGCCTCTATAGAATATAGTAATTACCTTATATGGGCATTCCCAATAAATAAAATTAAAGTAGTACCTTCTTTGAATGCTTTTTACTGCAGTGCTAAATAATGGAGTATACACAGAAGAAAACATTTTAGCTTTGATTTTGAGTGATTAAATTTCAAGTCAATGTGTTTGCATTCATGTTATATCATCCCCATTGCGCATACCCGGTGTATTTAATTTTGATCATTTGAGGTTTTAATACAAGAGCTATAATTCTGCAAATTTAAATTAATTTTATTCCTTGGTTGTCCACATGCCAGAGAGTATAATGTAAATGCCTAGACTTGTCCCACTTAGTTGTTGAAACCCTCTTTCTCTATTTTTACAGAGGCCATTTCTCATTTTTGCCAGACACGTTCTTTCATCCCTTTCTACAAGCAACTGAGAATTCTTTATAGAGAGACTGATAAAACTTATAGCCTGTTAAATACCTAATTTATAATTTCCAAAGATGGAATAGTTTAATTTCTTTCAAATAGTTAAATAAATGATGGCAGAAACACTTCAAGCAGATATTTATTATATATGACTTTTCTTCTCTTACATGTAAATGAGAATAAATCTGCTTTTATTTTTATTAAAAATAATTTGAAGACAAAAATAAATATTAAACAGAGTTTACATCTCCACTGTCCATTGAAACTTGTCAATTTCACTGAAGTAGAGCAGATCTATCTCATTTCCACCTCTAAGGTTCTCCTGCATGTGAAATCATAGCAGAAGCCTACTCAGTTGTATAGGGAGGGGAAAACTACCATAGCATTAGGTAAATAGAGCCTAGAGAGGAATTAGGCTAATATATGATTTAATCTATCTTCTAACAATTCTGTCTCTAAATTATAATTGAATGGAACCAGGTTAGAAAGGAGCTCACATGTGTTGCAACAGTGAACATCTGGTCACTTTTGGTTGTCCTTTTCCAAACAGTTAAGCATTAAATATGTGTTACAAAAAGTTTATTTTGTGCAGTTCATACAGAGAACCATTTTTATTAGATGTGTAATTTGGAAGTTTTGTTTACATTATGTCCTTAGGGGTTTTCTTTGTTTTAACAGCATGCAGCTTGACAGAAATACACTACCAAAAAAGGGATTAAGGTATATATTTCTCTCAGCACAATTGCTGCCTTTCTCTGTTGTTACATAAACTTTGTGTGCTGTCTTTCTTCCTCTTTCTTTGTTTGTTTGCAATGAAGCACCTGACATTGAGGATGAAATCACTTTTAATCTTGATATTTTCTCAGGTCTGAGGAGTAGGTGAGCTAGCTCTCAGGTAGAGGTGCATAACCAGAGGCCAAGCCTCAATAAGTTAAACCCAGTAAAGTAAATACCATTTTGGGGGGCAGCAACTTTTGATAGAATGCAGCACTCAGTTCTGAAAATTAAAATTAACTTCCCTAACTTTTGCATCTTGGAGGCATATGCTTGCAAAACCTCAAAACCCATATAGTCTACCGATATGGCCAGTTAATGTTGAAATGATGCTCTAATTTGAATCAAGGAAAACATATTTTCATCATCACAGGATAAATACTGTAATTAAGGTATGAATTCCAAATCCTTTTGGTAGAAACTCAAAAGAGTTCTGTTTTTCAAGACTGCAAGTATCTATCCCATCAATTTAAATATGAATTAGTCTAGTATTACATAATCTCAAAATAACTTTTCTATTCATCATTGAAAAACTGAAGTGAAAATTTAATTCATGGCCATCCTTCACTGCATACTTTTATCTGAGGAGAAGATACAGAATGAACTGCTAATAGAGCTATAACACGGTATGAAGTTGACTGCTCTTTGGTGCTAAGAATTTGCTGACTCTGGTGAAACTGAGCATTGGCCAAATAGGACTTTCCACATTATCTCTCTTCTCTTCAGTTCCTTAGCAATAACGAACAGCTTGCAATTATTCCATTTCACAATTTTGTTCCAGAAATGTATTTTCTAAAAAAATGAGAACATTTCTCCATCCTTTTTTTTAAAAAATCCAGACATGATGTCAAGTGGTATTTTAACCAAATAAATATTTTTTCCTTTAAAAAAAAAAAAGAACTGTTAATTTATGTCCATTTCCTATGCCTTTCTGTGACTATCGCTCCAATTCCATTGGCTCCTGGCCTACCTCTGTCCACCATTTTTAGTCTGTTTTTACCCTTTTTGCCTCACTCTAAGCACTGTGCTTTTGAGTCCTTCTCAATTAACTTGGCTGCCTGCTCATTGCTTCTGATTTTCAACTACGTATCTCACAAAAGCATAATGGTTTTTTCAAAATTCTTTTGTTTTTTCCTGTGAGATTCAAACAGATGGTGTCAAATCATCTGGAAGAACTAAGCAATTATAGATTCAATCTGTTTGAGAATCTTGCTCAGTCTGAATAGTAAGCTCCTCTCAATTGTTTTCTTGTCCTGGTATCACCTTGCCCCTTTGGATGTGCTTAAGTGCCTTAGCTGTGCTGTTTTGCAGATATACCCCATCATCTCGGCAGGCCAACCAAGAAGAGGGCAAAGAGTGGTTACGTTCTCATTCAACTGGAGGACTGCAGGACACCGGCAGCCAGTCCCCTTTGGTCTCCCCTTCGGCCATCTCATCTTCAGCAACAGGAAAATACCACTTTTCGAACTTGGGTAAACTATTCTAAAACATCAGTGTCATCTTGTTCCTTTCACCACCTACTCTCACTGTGGTTACATCTTCTCTGTTATTGCTCCATAAAAATTATTGGAGCCCTGGTATTGCTCCATAAAGGTTGTTCATTTAAAGAGATAAAGACCCTAACAGTGACTTCCATATGCATAATTGCTTACTATTTGTGAAATTGTTCCCAAACGTTATGCAGTTTACTGCCCGTGACAACAACTTGATGTAGGTTATTTTTATAGCCAGTGATCCAGAGGGGCACAGAGGTCATATGACTTATAAAGAAACTCCACCACTCTTAAGAAGCAGAGGCAGCAGTTGATTCCACAACACCTGACTTCAAGCCTAGGGGTTTTCTCAGAGTTCTTCTTAAATGAATAAAACATCTCCTTATTTTTTTCTTAAAAAAATTTTTTTTAAATCCTTGTATCAAAACTAATCATATATTTGTAGAAAAATAGAAATAATTATGATGAAAAAATATATGATTTTATGACTCTGAGATCATTTCTTTTACCTTTTTAAAGTTAAAACTCTCCTTAAAATGCATATGAGAATTTCTGTTAAGATAACAACACCCTATGAACATTTTTGGATAAATACAATGAAAAATAAATGACTAAGTAGCTTAGGCATTGCATTACTTTCTGATTAATATAATTTGTCTGAAATATATAAGTATTTGTATAAATGTCATAGAAAACACAGGGATGAGTGACAAAAAAGAAGTCTAAACATTTTATTATAGTTATAATTTCATAGATCCAATGCTATTAAAAATAGATTTCTATAAAGTAATATATAAAGTATTCTCATTATTTTTTTCTCTTTTCACTTGAAAAAAATTTCTGATCATGGACCCACAGATTGTCCAAATTCTTCAATAATTTGGACTTTTCAACTTTATGCTCTGTTGGACCACTCAAGGCTATTTCTCTTCTGTTTTAACACTCCCTGCTATGTAGAACAGAGCTTCTAACAATGAAAAACAATTAATTTTGTCATGGTTCCACATGAGCTAATGAATTCGTATCAAACACCAAGTTTTTATTTTTAAACCTACACAGTGATGACACTTTTTTGGCTCATAATGGCAAATGGTAGTCTAACTTTTATTTACTGTGAATTGTAGTTATGAAACAGCAAGAAGCTTAAAACTCTAATGTCAAAGAATAAATTGAAAATATTTTATAAAGTCATAGGAACATGAAACAAAATCTAATTTTATGCAACATCTGAAACAAAACCAAATCACCAAAATGTTATGAGTTTGCTAGGGATCTCACATCTCCAGTTAGTGTTCTCATTAATTGGCATTAATTTGACTAATAGACTATTTACTCCATTATTTCCCCATTGTTATTATTCTGATTAAATTAATCTATTTCATTATTCTCTTGATAAAAACGCTTACTTTCTATGTCTGACCTTCGCAAAGTCATTTAACCTCAATTTTCTCATCTGTTGAATGGATTCGTAATACCTAAGTCATATTGTGAGGAATGACTGTTCTAATGTGTGCAATGACTCAGGAGAGTATAATAAGACTTGATAGTCTCAGCTACATCATCATTTTATTGGAAAGCATGTCTTACACTATCAGACCCAACTGCAGATTGCAAATTGATCTTATTGCCTGTACTCTCTCTCATATCCCCCAATATTTTCACCCATTGAGACATATGAAGGAACACCTCATGCATGTCTACATACTTTCATATGTCGTCCCAGATTTTATAAGCATTTTTGGTTTCAAATCAGACGTTATGAGATCCCTATGCTGTGTTATTTTACAAAAGAAAAAAATGACTCATTTTAAAAACATGAAAATTATTTTTAAAGAGTTTTGATTGTATTTCTAGATCACCTGAATGTATATTTATTTGGCAAGAAAGTGGGCACTATTAAAATACAATCATAAATAGGGCCGGCCAAGTGGCGCGTTGGTTAAGAGCTGGCTTGGGATGCCAGAGGTCCCTGGTTTGGATCCCACAGATGAGGGCCTGTGACACTGCCCTCTACAGCTAAGATGCTGAACAACAGCTCAATCTGGAGCTGGGCTGCCGTGAGTCGCCAGAGACAGCGTAGGCTGCAGCCCCTGCTGCAGTGGGTTGCCATGGGCTACCGTGTGTAGCCAGCAGCCTCTGTGAGCAGCTGTCCAGAAGCCGGAGTCTGATCTGCCTCGCCCAGGAAGAGCTCAATGATGGTGCCAACTTGGACCAGTGAAGCAACGTCCTCCACAACTAAACTGAAGAACAAAAGGACAGCAACTTCTCTGTTCCCCTTCCCCCAATTCCCCAGCGCTGTTCCCATCCCCCAATTCCCCAATTGAAAAAAAAAAAAATTATAGACCACAACCAAGTGGAATTCACCCCTGGGATGTAAATATGGTTCAACAAAAAATAAATCAACAAATATAACAAAAAATAAAATAAAGTAAAATAAATAAATAAAATTAAAAAATACAATCATAAATAAGTTAATTTATTATTATTATTTTTTAAATCATATATAACTATTTGACTTCAATATGGATAGCATTGTCTTACATTTTACTTAGATCATTGCTTGTTTTCTATTTGGCAGTTATCTTTTCTGAATGAGCAGTAGATAAGTGATTATTAGTAACAATTAACTGTTGCAGTATCCATGCTTTATCTTTATTTTGTAGCCATTAAAATGTTAATACCTAAAATTTTTACAAATATTTCTGTAAAAGAAATCACATCTCACAAACATTGGAAATTTAAGATCCCTGCAATTATGTCTCTATCAGTAAACTACTGTGAGCTACTGCCAAAATAAACTGTGGTTTGTGTGTAGCCATTGGCATGATAGCTATTGTATAAGAGAAACCATTTCCACTAAAGAAAGCATATCAGAATATACCTTATGTAAACAAAATACAGTTTTGGATGAAACTTAATTTACTGTTGATCACAGTTCTGATGAGGCATCTGAAGCCTGGTGAGACTCATTGTCATCTTTCCACGAGGGATCATAATAGCTCAGATTCATTTTTCCCCTTGCCACAGTGCTGCCATTGTAGAAACATTAGTATTCACGTGTACTTCCAAATTCTATATATTTGATGGACCCTTTTGCATACTGAGTGATGTTTAAACACCTTTGTATGGGAAGTTTCTATGTTTTTTGCTTACAAGTTCCTTCCATCTTGAATACCTTCTACCCCCTCTCTATATTCACCCTTCAAACTATTCAGAATTAACCCCTTTCTTCTATATGCATGGAAGCATAGAATTTGAGTTGAAAGAGACCTACATCAAAATGTAGTCTGTGCCTGGAAGCTTCGATAGGCTCTTCTTGGGAAATTGAGATTTCTTGTATTTTCTTTCTTTTTCAATTTTGCTTTCCCCATTAAAGTAATGGTATTCTTCTCTTAAAAGAAACCTGCAGACTCTAGGAAGGCACTCTTGTCTTCATATTGGCCAGCAGAAAATACCATGTTATTCTGTTTCTAGCATGAACAGTAGAGGTGGCTTGCTGGTTTTGTTCAATATTGCTTGAGAAATTGACATACTGCTTGTTGTGAAAGTGCTAAAAGTAAAGAATGACCTCGCTGTAATAACTTTTATGGAACATTTCAGAGGCAGACTCTTAGCTTGCCTTAAATAGGGACAACCTATAAATTCACGTTTCCATAAGAATTGGGGTCACGTTCTCACTTTCTATCAACCTACTGTTTTCATCACCCAAGCCCCAGAATAATAGGCTGTGCGTGCTTTGTTTTTCAGTGAGCCCAACCAATCTGTCTCAATTTAACCTTCCTGGGCCCAGCATGATGCGCTCAAACAGCATCCCAGCCCAAGACTCTTCCTTCGATCTCTACGATGACTCCCAGCTTTGTGGGAGTGCCACGTCTTTGGAGGAAAGGCCACGTGCCATCAGTCATTCGGGCTCATTCCGAGACAGCATGGAAGAAGGTAGGCGTGGGGGAAAATAAAGATGAAGTTACTTTATTTAACTCTGAGATGAAAACTGTCACATCGCTCACAGCCCCAGGATTCCTGAAGAGTAAATAAATGAGTAAGTATACCTCTCATTTGAGGAGCCCTGAAGCTTAGAGACGTTTTCATCTGCATTACCTTTTGTTTCTTTATGCATTTGGAAATATGCCAGAAATTGTTTGGATGAATACTTGGCTATAAAATAGTTCAGAATAAATTCAATGTTCTCATGTAAAAATTTGCATAATTTTAGGGACTGTTTGCCCTGATAGATCAAATATCAGAGTGAATGTCTTGTTTGACATCTCAGTTAAAGAACCACAAAGGCATATGAAGCAGAAAAATTATCTTACGAAACTACTACGTGCTGCCAACTTTTATTCTCAGAACCTCCCTCTTGTGTTAGTTTTTATCATATAATTTTCAGATTCATATTGTAGCTACTTTTTGCTTTATAAGTGACATTTCCTTATTCAGTGCAATAAAATGCTCCCTTGTCCTAAAAAAAACGGCTTTGTCATTGTAAAGTTCTAGGTGAGTAATTTATAATAAATCTATTTGAAAAACTCAGGAGGCTTAATTGGTGTTCAAATGCCTATAATTTTCTAAACTATATAACCTCAAGTGTCAAATTTGATAATAAAATTTGAGAGATTTTCCTCTTTGATTTAATGAATGATTTTTAAGTACCCATAAAGGCAAACTGTGGCACTCGTAAAACATATCAGCTAAAGGTAAGATAAAAGTAAACCTTGAAAATGTACAGTTCAGCACTGTACAATTAAGGTGCTGGCACTAAATCAGTTAATCACAATCACCACTACTTTGGGGCATATTAACCAAACCAACGAGTTCATTGTGACAGAGAGTGAACTATACCCTGATAGTCTGCTGATTGATGTAGTGTAGATGGACAAAAGTATAACTAATCCGAAATGTTAAGCCATTGCTTTTCTGACATGGTTCTATCACTCTCTTCATTGATAGGCCTCTTATAATACTGTAAAATTTTTCTGAGCATATCAGATGGCTTTCTCAAGTGCCCCATTTATGAATAGAATGCTGTTCATATGCTGGGAAATTCTGGCTTTCCATGTGTGAGGATTAAATAATCTGAATTGTTGAATGCCAGCCTGAGTGGGCAAGATGGCTTTTGGATGGTCATTCGTGGAATAATGAACTATTATAATTTTTAAATTGTGGTCTAGAATCAAGGAATTATATGGACTAGAAAGATGGAAGGGACTTTATTGGCGGCCCCTGACCACTGCTCAAAGTGAACGATGAGGAAACTAAGCCACAAACTATAAAGTCATAGACCTATAAATGCCAAGTGATTATAAGTCATACAGTAAATAATAAGCATCAGAAAGACTGAAAATGGGATCTCCTGATGTTTTGTCTTCCTTCTTGTACAACATACTAGTTCATACCCGTGTTAGCATAGGTGGAACAAATACCCTTTTTTTTTTAAGCTACAATTTTGCACATCTCATAGAATGGTAGTATTTGCACAGACTTCCTAGTCCAGGTTATATATAAGTACTGTCCGTGTGCTCTTGTAGTACCCAATACATTGCCCTTGATAGTACTTATAGTACTCTATTATAATTATCTTTTTAGTTGAGCACCTTCCTACTTCTTTTTGAGCTCCTAGGACAGTGACATTCATTTTTGTAGTCCCAGGATCTAGCAAGGGCCTGTCACATTGTGTGTGCTCAACTACTGTTTCTTTAATGGATGAATAAGCAGGAATAATTTTCTATTGTTGCACAATGAAAAGAAGAAGGACTTTCCTACAAATATAATTAAACACAATTTTATCCACTTTTTGGGTTCAATGCACTGGATGTGAATGTATTAAGAAATATAAAGTAGTCCATTGAGAGTTTGAGATGGTATTTTGATATACCTAGATAAAAGACAGTGTGCAATTTCCATTCTTAATTTCAGCAACACACCACCTTGATATAAGTATTTTTCTATTACTATGATATAAGTATTTTTCTATTACTGAAAGTACAAAAGAAACAATAATTCTGTATTTAAAAAAGTATGATCAATTCATCACAAATAGTGTTGAACTAGCAAATTGGGTAAACTGCTTATTTCCCTGAAAGTATATGGGGAAAAAGACTGAAAATGATTTTTGTTGTATAAAAATGAAATCAAATAAAATACATAAAGTATTTTTAAAGTTTATGGCAATTTTCATTCAGGTTTTCATGACTTTCTGATTATTAATTATGTGGGAGTTTATTGTAGTTTTCGGCATGTGCAAAGCATGCTTGAAGGGCTTGTACTTGTCAGCTTCTCTCTAGAAGATGATAAAGAAGGTACTTTCGGGGGAGGTATGGGACCTTTCTATGTCTCAATGTTTGCTCTCCAAAAAATGACAACAGGCATAGTCTCAGATCCCTATATCTAGCAGTTATTATTTTATTTCCCTATTCCTCACTTTTTAATAAAGGCCTGGTGTTTCTGAGCAGACTTCATTATTTTACCTCTTGGTTTTTTTTTGCTTTCTCCAGTTCATGGCTCTTCATTATCACTGGTCTCCAGCACGTCTTCTCTTTACTCCACAGTAAGTATTGGGTGGTAAGAAAATGTTTCTGCCTTAACCAAGCACACAAGTGCTTGATTGACATTTACACAGAAGTTGCACAGTGAAATAAGGGCATGCTCTAAGCTCCCACATACCCGATAAGGCAGGTGCTCTACCAGCTCTTCTGTGGTCCACTAACTGTGCTTCCACGTGACTTTGCTGTACTCACTATGATCAATATGTGGAAGGAAAACTGAATTTTATAAAACCTGTCAGGGTATAACTTGGAATCCCTGAAATCATGTCCTATGCTCTACTATAAGTTTATAATATTGACCGGTTTTCCATATTTTCTCCACTTTATTTTTATATTTAGAAAATTTCTTTTGACAAAGACTGTGCCTAAGGATGAAGGTCTAAGAGGCTTAGAGAGTTTTTTAATATCTTCTGAAGTAAAGTATGATTTTTCCAACTTTATTTCTTAAGAGAGAAATGCCAATGTGTCAACTTATTTTCCTAGTATGTGAAAATACATTTCATTTTTGCCAACATGAGTTTTATGTCTACTTAATATAAGTTCAACTTTAAAAAAAAATAGTCTGCAGGAATTTATGTTTTACCAGAGGGTTCCTTTAAGCTTAGGTAGGCGTGAGGAATAGTTTAATGAATCTTACTGAGACTTGGGTACCATGAATAACCCTTAATCCTGCATTGAAAGGTTCATGAAAAGTTCACATCCCCAGCTGTTCACTGAGCAATTAAGCATTTAGGGCAATATTAATCTGTTTCATTCATTTTCATTAGGCTCAAATGTTATGTCCCTCTTTTTATAAGTTCATCTTCATATTTATTGTTTTACATAGTTACTCAAAATCAGACTGTCATTATCAGAGACAATATTTTTCTCACCATCTCTCCTTTTAATAATTAAAATTGCCAAAAGATTCTATACATGAAGAAATCCCTGTTAATGGTTAGATAAATCTACTGTGTTAAGCTAATGGATAAAGAAGTGAGAAATGTGAAAATGTATTGGAAAAAATGAATAGGAGAAACATGTAAAGACTTACAGTTCCTCCTGTTGGGCCAGTGCTGCTGCTTATCTGGGAGATGAAACCATTGCAACTGAAGTCTCTATATAATGTCAAAAGATGCAACATTATTATAATCATATTTCATATATATCCAAATGCAACATTTGGATAAAATTATCTTCCGGAAGGCTAAAAAAGATCGAGAATTTTAAAAAAGCATGGGTTGAAGAAAAACATGACTAATCAGTATCTACCAGAGTCCAATAGACCTTTCTGTAATAATAAAAATGTTCTATATCTTCTCTGTGTAATACAGTAACCACATGTGGCTATTGAGTATTTGAAATGTATCTGCTGTGACAGAGGAACTGAATTTTTCATTTTATTAATTTTAATTTAAATAAGCATATGTGCCAAGCAGCTACTATATTGGATATTGCAGGTTTATAGGGAATAAAGGGGATGCATTTAAAAAAATTCTAGATATTCCACATATACACACATACACACACACACAACATATATATAGGATATGTATGTCAAAATAATAAGGACAATGAGGAAGCATAAATGAGAAGTATTATATTAGGAGTACAATATGAAATGGAAACAGATTTAAGTAAAGAGACTATAAACATATTCATAGGCCTGCATTTAGGGATGAATTAATTAGGTCCTTGTGTTAAGTGTGAAAAAGATGGATAAAGTGATCAAGCCACATCAGGTGATATTATTAGTAAATTTAAATAGAATTAGAGATGATGGAAATTATATACTTGAATTGACAAATAACCTATAATAAAAACAATTCAAAAATGCATATTTGGGGGACTAATAATGAGAAAAATCAAAGGTGATGAGTCATTCTGTCTCTAACCTCCCTTATCATGCACTGAGACTTAATTGGCAATGATAAAATATCTGTGAAAGTGCTTTCCAAACCATGAAGTGAAAAAGCAATTTATCATTATTTTTCATGCCTTCTTAAGGACTTTGGATAAACATTCCATTGATTTGCATTCCTGCCTGACTGTATTAGTAATTATTGTGTGATATCAGGCAAGTTGCTAAATTTCTTTGGACTATACCTATAAAATAAAATTGGGAAACAACAGACACATCTATCCCATGATTTTCCTGCAATCATTAGAGGAGACCAGGGACATTGTATGCCATAAATTACAAAAACATTGTAAAGTGCATCACTCTAAGAAGGACCATGTACATCAGAGTCTACATGTAGTTGCATTTTTTGAAGTTGTGCAGTGTACAACTAACACAGCTGAGCATGGTGTTCCTTTATAAAATAATTAGTGTTTAAAGGGGTAAAAGTTTCCTTTTTCTGCAAGGAGATTAGGCACTATCTCTTCTTATTTGGTAAGATATTGCTCTTATTAAACATGAGTATAAACCATATTTACTCTAATGCTCTCATTTATGCAATTTATGGAATTATATATTTTACTTAAAAATATTACAACAAACTAATGAGGATGCAAAGAACCTTTACCTGTAAAATCATCAATCTTACAAATTCCGTTGAAAGGATTCTTGCTTCATATGTAGCTCTATTAAAGTCTCTACGAATTGTAGTTTGGTACAATTTTTCAAATGTATCTTGCTATCAAGTTTTGTAAAAAATTACTGTCTACAATTCCTGAGCAGAAAGATTCAGGGAGGTTGCACATTGGCTGGAAATCATAGGCCCAAGTTATTGCCTTTGACAAACTTAGAGTTTGTGTGTTTGTTTTTTAATCCAAACCAACACTGTGCAATCTGGAGCTTGTATCTAAAATTACAATTTAAAAAATGTATTTTAAAAATCACCAGTCTATAAAAACACTGAAATGAAATTCCTCCGGGTTTACAGTTCTCTGGCATTGCCCCCTTTAGATACTGACAAGTGCCTTCAGGCAATTCCCAGCCTCCACCATCACTCCTTTTCTTCCTGAAGTTGAGTTTGGGTTGTTAGTTATTATTGTGTTGCTGCATTTCTCATAGGAAAGAAATACACCTCATTATCCATATATTTATGAAACGATGGAAATTAAAAGATAACCAGAGAAGGCTATGTGATTTTATTGTTAGTACTCAGAATGCTTTTCATTTTTTTATATACCTGGTCCTGTTTATACGTTTACATTTTTATCCTTGTGATTAATGGTTGTTTTCTGATTGACTGTGTATTAACTTTATTGAACTTGATTTGTACTTGGAAGCTAATTTGTGTTGGTTTAATAAGAGCAAGGGCCATGTTTAGTTGATTGTGGATCCCTTTAGCATATTTACTAACATATAGCTAATGCTAAAGTAAATATTTGTTAATTAGTAAGTTTAAATGGATGAATGAATGGTCAATTAATAGCTTACAGGATAAAGAACCATCTGATATATTTTTATTTAGAAAAGGTGTTTTATATTGTTTACCATGCCTCAGGACATTGGGCCTGCTTCAAAACCATCATTTAAAAATAAAATATAATCACATGCCTTCTTATTATTATTAATCCCATGCCTAATCCACTGGAAAAAAGTATACTATTAATATTCTGGTTCATTGCTTCAACTTTAGGGTAACACCTACCTAGCATTCATATCCAAGGGGATGAAAGAAGACAAAGATTAAAGAAAAAGATAGTTCTGAAAAATCAGCAATGAGTAAAGTCATTATATATAGCATATATGGAATTAATATGGAATAATAATGCTTATAACTAGTATGTGTAACTTATCCAGGGCATTTTTAATGAAAAAAAATGTGATTGTTTCCTGACTATTTTAAAAAATAGAATATATCGCTTGCTTTAAATACACAAATTGTTTATTGAGTATCAGTTTTATATAATTTTAGCAAGCCTAGAAGGAGAATTTGGGCAGAATAAACTGGCAATAAATATGCAAAGTACTAGGGAAACTCAAAAGTCATAGATAATTGTGCCATATGTCTTAAGGCAAACAACCGCCAGCTTTCTTTTGATTTTATGAAATTTTTATTTTAAAACTTCTTTTCTACTTCTGATTCAAAAACCAAACTATATGAAACCTTGAAAATATTAAAATTAAAAGAAATAAAATCTTCACTTAAAAACTAAAGTTGCGATGTAAAATATTTAAGCTTTATGTTAGCATTTCTTTTTAAACACAGTTTTCTTCTAAAGTCTATTAGGATTCTACTACTTAACCATTCTTTTACCTAACCACTGTATTACTAACTGTACATTATTTTTAAGAGTAGAGAAAATATAAGAAAGACAAAACTCCAGAGGTGCTTATACATAATATCTCAGTGTTTACTTTGTTTTATTTTATAATTTCCAGAGGAAAAGGAGATATAAAAAGTGGTGCATGCATATCTGCATCAGTTAATCAGGGGGTTGTTTTTCAGCTTTGGATCTGCTCAAAGCAATGAGCAGTCTTGTACCGCTCAGCAATATTGTACAGTCCCCAGCTTTTTCCAGAATGAGCGAGCTTCCCACATAATGGTGCACATAACTCATGTCCTGGCATTTCACAGCCCAGCACAAAGAAGAAAAAGAGAGCTAGGAGTTTTTGGCAGCTGAGGCCAAAACACCCTGCAAATTCCTCCAGCAATCCTCCTTTCCATAATCCACATAGCTAAAGATGTTTGTTGGCCACTTTATCACCAGTCATACTGTATGTTCTAGTGTTTTGCTGACTTGCAGCCAAATAAATTTAATTAAGTATTATTAGGAAAAAGAAATAGAAACTAATAACCTGATTTTCTGTGGTTATCAATAGAGGTCAATATTTTCCCTCAAGCTCTGTTTGGCATTCTTTATAATCTTTAAATCTCAGAACAAAATTCTGGCTCCTAAGTCTTGGCTGAAGATCCCTATAATTTAATGGAGTCTGTTTCCTACAATCTGGAATTTTTTAAATCCAACATTTTATTTTTTCCTATATCTATCTTTTTTAGAATATAATTTTAAAACTATTTTGTTTTTTGTTGCTTGTGGTCTGGATCTTAGAGTAACACTATCTTTTAATTATATCCTTTGCTTTTAAGGCATATTATATATCCATGAATCAAATAATATATATTTTTTAAAATACTATATGGTTTCTATATAAATAAATAGTCATCTGCATATCTAAAGGTTCCTGTTTTTACTGTTTTAATTTAACAATATTGTGCATTTTACTGTATTATGTTAGATAACATTTTAAATACACAATATAATGATTTACTCATATATACTTGTGAAATGAATGGACATTGATTATTTACAGTTAAATTCTTTTGCATTCTCTCTTTTACAGGCTGAAGAAAAGGCTCATTCAGAGGTAAAAACACAGCATTTTTATATTTGACTGCTCTAATATGCATTTATGATGAAATGAGTGTTTCTGCCACTAGAGGGCTCTGTGATACAATAGCATAACTACAGCACTGAGGATAGCAATAACAGATAGTTAATGAAAGGTCTTGAATATTTCCTCTTAAAAGAAAATGAAAGGTAATTTTTATCTTTGTATTTTTATGAGTTTCTCTTCCCCACTGCCTGTGAGACTCACTGCATAGAATTAAGGAAGCTTGAATCTTAGGAACGAGGCCTCCACAACACAAGCTACCAGCATCCTAGTCCAACTGTTTGGTGTAAGACTTGGCTCCCTCTAAAAGCGGTTTTGTCTAGGCCTAGTCACACACGTTTCACAAATACACACTTTGTTGCAATCATGTGCAAATCAGATTGCAACGTGGAGAGTATATTCTTTTTCTTTCCCTTTGTATAAGAGTTGGCCTGGCCAAAGAGAGCAGGGGACTTTAATTCGGCCTTTATTCAAGATGTAGTAATGAGAAGTTGATTAATTTACTCTGAGGCAATCAGAGCACAGAGAAAATAAATGTCTTGGCAACAGTCTTTGCAAAGAAACTGTTTCCTCTTAAGTCACATTTTATTAGCCTTTAATGTAAAATTTGTGCTGTGTTTAAAAATATTGAAAAAGTATTGATTATACCAATTTGATCTTTATAATTGCTAGACCAAAAAGTGAATATGATTTTTTTTAAACCTATTTTATTTGCCTCATATGCACATGGCAAAGCTTCTAACATTGATCATAATGTAGCTACTGATGTATAGAAATGCAACATCTATTTGCCTTATTAGTAGTTAACCAACTCCCCTTTTATCATTGATACCCCAAATGGGTCATGATTTTTCAAAAATAATTTACAGTACTTTAAACTTTCCTGGATTACATTTTAAAGGAAATAGGATCACGTGATCAGGACTATTAATTTGAGAAAGCCTCTTTAATTTGGTTTAAGAATAAAATGGATTCTAGGCTGGCCAAATGGTGTGTTGCTTAAGACCTGGCTTGAGACTCCAGCTCTGAGCAGCAGGGCCTTGGTTCGGATCCCACATGAGGGCCAGTGACACTGCGCCCTCTGCAGCTAAGATGGTGAGCAACAGCTCAACCTGGAGCTGGGCTGCCGTAAGTCGCCAGTGACAGCATAGGCTGCAGTGGGGCTGGCCGGCAGTAGGTGAGCTGCCGCCGTGAGTGGCCGTCCAATGGCCGGCAACCAATCTACCTCACTTGGGAAGAGAGCAATGATAATACCAACATGGGCCAGTGAAGCAACGTCCTTCACAACTAGACTGAAGAACAAAAAGACAGCAACTTGTCTGTTCCCCTTCCCCGATTCCCCAATGCTGTTCCCTTCCCCCAATTCCCCAATAATAAAACTTTAAAAAAGAATAAAATGCATTCTTTGCTCTCTGAGATTATTTGTGGTCATCATCATATGAATACAATTCAAAAGTTAATTGGGGCTGGGATGTATCTCTTTTTAAAAAACAAAAGTGAAATGGAGCCACATTTGCTGAAATTATAAAAATGTCCTCTATCTCTGCTTCCAGCTTACATTTCGCTTCCTTTTGAGAGTCTCTCAATTTTCTCTACAAAAATCTAATTTGAAGGAATAAAAAGAAAAAGACAATTAATGAACTGTGTCAAGAATGTTTCAAACTGAGTTAGGATTCCAAAAGTCCCAATACAACAAAAGAAGACTTGTTTTTGAAGAAACGAAAATCATCAGAGTAGAATATTTGCCATCTAAGTAACTAAAATCTTTGAGATCAGAAGTATACTTGTCAAATTTATAAATATTTTACTTTAAAGTAGTAATTACTTTATATATTTCATGACAACATGAGACATGCAGATTAAACTGTGAAAGTGCTTAAATTAAAATTTTTAATATGATATATACTCTTATCTTTTTCTGCCTCAGTTTTCATCCAGTGTGAACTTAACTAAAAAGGAAAACATGTTAGCATATTTACTTTGTTAGTTTATCTAGTTATTTGCACAGTATTATTGATTTTCCCCTTATTTTTAAACTATGGATAATCTATAAAGCATTTCCTCCCTGAGCTAGTAGTAGCTCCCTGAATAAATGGTGTTAATAATAAAGATTTGGAAAAGCTTCTCTGAGTGTTAGCCATTAAAAGCCTAGCCAGTAACATCATTTTCAAATATGGAATCATTAAATGTTGAATTAGAGCCAACTTTCAGTGACTGCAGGATATTCTACAGCTCTAAGAAATTGCCAAATTACAGAAAATTAAAAGTAATATACAAAAAAAAACTGATAGGAAAATAACATGGAGCATTTTTCACTAAAAAGACTGAAAAAATGTATATGCACATTTAACTTAAAAAAAAGATTTTGCTACTTGAGTTTAAATTACAACTATATTCTAGAGGGAGAGGAATCAATAAGAAAGTAAGTTCTTGAGTCAGGCAGGGATGGCAAATGGAGCAAGTAAGCATCCCTTAATTTTCAGATTTGAGTCCCAACTTTGAACACAGGCATTTAACCCTCCTCTTATAACTGGGGTTGTTACTGTGCAGCCAGTATGCATATTTCTTTAATTTTCAAGAATTGGTGCTGATACAGTGGGGGTAGAATAAACTGACTATAGTATTTTCTTTCTTGACTTCTAGTCGTAAGTCAAAATCTACTAGCATATTGAGTTGATTTTTTTTTATTACATTCAGCAAATCCATAAACTGCGGCGAGAACTGGTTGCATCACAAGAAAAAGTTGCTACCCTCACGTCTCAACTTTCAGCGAATGTAAGTCACTTTTGATTTTTTTATGTATTAAAACATTTTTATATAGCAAATGGGATAGTTTTAATAACAATCTTACAAACTTTGTCCAAAATTGTAGATTTAAGTCACTAAATAGTGGGAGTCATATAAAGGTAAGCTTTCCTGCAGACTGGGTAATAAAATGTAAATCCAAATTGATTGATGAGGAATCATAATGTGGTTAAAGTGGCTTTTTGTTTCTAATAAGGTTGGAATATTAGCAACAGCTACAAGGATTCTTTCTTTTCTTCTTTTTATCATTCCCCATATGTAAGACTTTCTAAAACTACAGTACTATTAGGATTGATAGTGATTAACTTTGGAAGATAAACAAATTCATGCACCCTGCCTCTTTCAGTAGCATATATTAGACAGTTAAGCATTCAATTAATTCCAAAAAAAAAATAACTTAGGTCTAAATTTGGGTGTCTTAACTATATTGTAAATGAGATATAGTTCTCTCAGCAACCTTGGCAGCCTTCCCCTAGCCCAGCGGTTCTCAACCTGTGGGTCGCAACCCCTTTGGGGGTCGAATGACCCTTTCACAGGTGTCGCCTAAGACCATCAGAAAACAAAAAGATATTTACATTACGATTCATAACAGTAGCAAAATTACAGTTATAGAGTGTCAACGAAAATAATTTTATGGTTGGGGGTCACTACAACATGAGGAACTGTATTAGGGGGTCGCGGCATTAGGAAGGTTGAGAACCGTTGCTAGCCTCTGATTATGGCCAACATGATGATAAAAACCATCAATTATATTAACATTTATTGAAGATCTTTCAGTGTGCCAGGGAATACGCAAAGTAGATGGAGAATAATAAAAGAGAGCACGTGGCATTGTGCCTAGTCGTAAGGAACAGCAGCGTTAGAAGCAACAGTGAGGGGTAAGGACGGCCCCGCTATTTTGCCATACGTCCTGCCAACTTCACTCAACGTGAATCTGCTCAGCTCCACTGTGTAGCTTGGGCCTTTTGGCTGCATCACCGCTCTCTGCTTCCCAATGAATTTTTTTTATCTCTTAGACTAAGCTGGATACAGCAAGACTGAGCAGGTGTAGGCCCCCTGGGTGTGCCTTGAATATGAGAAATTTTAAGATTAAACATTATGGTGTAATATAGCTTTCGCAGTATATAAGGAAATCACTTCACTCACCGTGTATCCAGTTTAGCACTGTATTTGGCTTGCTCTTATTTTTTCTACTTTGGGAGAATCAAATTAATTTTGGATGGACTATATTTGTTTTTTATGGATGCTGTTAGGGTATTCTTAAAAATGCTAGGAGGTTTTAGAGAACTGTTTAGGCAACACTGGAAGAGAGCAGTATTATTTAACCTATATTTTGTATCTGAGAATAACTCTTAAAGAAACAGTTCAAAAGCAACTGTCAATTGTATACAATAGGTTAGATATATAGCAGTGTAATACACTCCCCTCTAGGTTCCTGAATTTGTTCCCAGAGGACGTATTACAATGCAAATGCCAAAACACACTGCAGTGAATAAGGTTCGGTGACAGATCCTACGCATCAGATAGTCAAGATATTTACAGAAGCCTTGAGCAATTACTCATGGTGTTATTTTATCTTGTAAATGTTTCTTGTGTGGACTTATGTATTCAGATATTGGAATAATAAGTGGCTACTATCCATAATGGAATGTGGGTGTTTGCACAGTAATTTTTAAATTATTTCCATTTAAAAAGTAATATGTGCCAATTGTATGAAAAAGAAAAATTGAAACTAAAAAAGTGTTTAGTAAAAAAGGCATTATTTGTTTTTCCCTCTGAGACTCCCATTTCCACTCATGGTTATTAATTTATTGTGTTTCTTTCTACATTGTTCTTTTATATACTCATGAATACATGTATACAGCACACACTTGCAAAGGCTTACACACGTGTGTGCGGAAGAACCTAATTCTAACTTAGGGGAGCAGTCCTGGGGTCTACTCTGTGTCATTGCTTGGAAAGGGAGCAAACATTTTAAAAAGACGTCAGCCATTGGCTACCTACCACTTCTGCTCCAGTCATGTGTGCCACACTATTTTCACAGTGTTTCCATGACTTTGGAATAGGTATTCTCAGCTAGGCATTGATATGACCATCAAAGGGTGAAAATTGATTCTTGCAGTGCAAACAAACTTTGGCATTTTATGTATAAAGCACAGATATACATAGAGTGTATATGAGTAAACAGGTATTCTGTATACCTGTGGTATTAAAATATCATGGAGGAAGGGGGCAATTGGGAAAATAAAAATATCTATAACCTCTCTCTAAAGGATGATAATGAAAAAAAAAAAAAACAATAAGAAACAGAGTAAGAGGAAATAGTTCCAAATAGATGGTATGTTTTGTTCAAAAAGTGCTAGTCTTGGGGAAAAAGTCCAAATATCTCCTGCTTCCCTAACATATATCTATGTTATCATTAGTAGTACCTTTTGTACTGGATGAGAGCTTAATATATATCCTATTTTGCATGACCTTTTTTTTAGCTTTATAATGCATTTGGGAAATCTCAAATCATCCTCAGATTCACACAAAAATTTTTATATAGCAGTTATATTTTTTAATAGTGAAAAAAAAATAGAAACAACTAAAATGTGCCTCAGTAATTCAATGGATAAACAAACCAATACATCCATACCATAGACTACTGCTCAGCAGTAAAAGGAAAGGAACTATTGATACAAGATCGGACAATTAAGTTCACGAACTTGTTGCAATGATGTTGCTAACCTTTACTTGATATCAGAGGGATTATTCATTATGAATTTGTACCAACTGGACAGTAAACCAAGTTTACTATTTGGAAGTGCTGAAACGCTGCGGGAAAAAATTAGACGACCTGAACTTTTCAGAAACAGTTCATGGCTCTTGCATCACGACAATGCACCAGCTCACACGGCACTGTCTGTTAGGGAGTTTTAGCCAGTAAACAAATAACTGTACTGGAACACCCTCCGCACTCATGTGATCTGGCCCCCAGTGGCTTCTTTCTTTACCCGAAGATAAAGGAAATATTGAAAGGAAGTCATTTTGATGACATTCAGGGCATCAAGGATAATACAACGACAGCTCTGATGGCCATTCCAGAAAAAGAGTTCCAAAATTGCTTTGAAGGGTGGATTAGGCACTGGCGTCGGTGCATAGCTTCCCAAGGGGAGGACTTCAAACGTGACCATAGTGATATTCAGCAATGAAGTATGTAGCACTTTTTCTAGGATGAGTTCGCAAACTTAATTGTCTGACCTCGTACACACAATAACTTGGGTGAATCTCCAAGTTCACACTAAGTTGAGTGAAAAAGTCCAATTTCAAAAGGTCACATACTATATAATTCCACTTGTATAACCTAGAATGACAAAATCATAGAAATGAAGAATAACTTAGTGGTTGCCCAGGGTTAGAGGTAGTGGTCACCTTTCTCCCTGAGAGGTGAATGTAGCCATAAAAGGGCATTGATAGGATGGAGAGCTTTGTGGTGAAGAAAGAGTTTTATACCTTGATTGAGGTGGTTATTTCATATGAGAATCTACATATTTGTACCAATATTGAATTCTTGGTTTTGATATTACATGATAATTATGTAAGATGTAACCATTGTGGGAAACTAAATGAAGAGATGCAAGCATCTTCTCTATACTCTCTTTGCAACCTCTTGTGAAGCTATAATTATTTCAAATTAAGAAACAAACAAACAAACAAAAATGCCTAAAGATTTATTACAGGTTTTGAAAGAGATGTGTACTTTTAAATTTCTTAGGTATTTCAACCTTATTTCACCACTTAGTGTTTCTTAATTTTCTGATGATATGGATTGTTAAAGCTTTTTACCATTAGGTAAATTTATTTTAATGTCAAACGATGAAAGTAAAAAAATTCAGGTAATGAAGATATGCATTATCTTCTACTCTTCTATTGTACAAAACAGTTTACTAAAATTTACTTTAAGTCTAAATATTTTAGTAGCTCTGAACTTTTATAAATGGATGTATATATAAATGTTTAAAAATAATTTAACATAAATCCTATTTTGAACATTTTAATAGTATAATTACAAGGGATGGAGTCTTGTATATTTATGTCTATTTGTATTTTTAAGCATATAATCGCCTTTATACACTCAGAAATTTGAATTACTCATAACTTACCTATTAACTACAACTCACCTTGAATTCACTCTCTTTAGCATTTGATTTATAATGTCATTTTAGATTCCATAGACCATAATGAGTTATCACAGGATTTCTTTAATACTTGATTTTTCTTCAGTTCTAAGAAATACTGCATTTAAATTTTATTCAAAGTGTGTTTCATTTCATTGCCTCTGAGGTAATATCTGGTAATATATGTGTGTGTGTGTGTATATATATGTATATGTGTATGGATATTAAATTAATCATAAAACTGAATAAAATTATTCTGTATAGATTTCTTCAATTTAAGTCAAACATTTTTTGATCTTGTGCAGTTCCTATTTGCAGGTAGAGATATGCCCTTTATTTATTGATTTATGCAGACCACAAGTAAGCCTTTTACCTTTTGATTAAATGAGATCGCTGCAATGAACATTGTATAGAAGTGTAACAGCCATGATTTATAAGGATGAATTACAACTTTGGTTCTGTAGAAAATATCAACATTTTTTTGAAATTTAGTATTAATTTTAAGTATACAGCTATTCATTTTTACTGAATATATGCACAATTCTATCAGGATTTAACTGATTTTCCATAATTTGGGGTATGTTTTATAATCGATGTATCATGTATTCGAACCTGGCATGATTATGTTTATATGCAGTCCACGTAATCTGTGTTTTACTATTTAAGGTTGAAACTTACATGCTTCCCTACTAAAATGTTTTTTTACGCCTTTGTTGAATGGGGCGGTTAAGTCAGAAAGATATCCAGTGAGCTCACCTCTTATTTGACTGGCAGAGTCTCACCTCCATTCAGTAGACTATACACTGAGCCTTCTCGCCCACTTGTGAAATTCTCTGATCAGAGCTGCATAAAGCCCTGGGAAGACTCTTTGTAAAGCTGCTTCTACTAGGACATCTTTAGAAATCAGAGAGGGTATGTTGGCAAGGACTATTATTGCCTGAACTTCCCTGAATCAATAACCTACCAACGAACAGAAAGGACACAGGAGCCCCAGAAGCAAAGGCAACTGCTCACGTGTGGTCGCATCATAGTCAGCCAGGCACCCTCTCACCCCTCCCCCACACCTTCATGCAGCCAAGGCAGCTGGGATGCATTTGTTTGTGTTTTAATATATTTTCTTTACAAATCTCAGTCCTTAGATAATTTAGAAATGGACCCTAAGGCTAGTTATTACTACCAATTTTCAGAGACATCACTGAATAGATATATATATAAAACAAAACAAAAGTTATTCTTTTTTTTGCCTTTCAGCCTGTAAGTCTTGTAACCAAAAATCTCTTGGATATTATTTTGTTTGGGATTGTGTCCTATTTCTTTGCTCTATTTAATATTTTTATATACTCTGGTAGTTACTCTGGTTTTTCTACTCTCCTTTAACAGAAAATTATTTTGCACTTATTAACAATGGCAAACACTGAAGGGACAATTTTATACAGTAAAAGAAATGTGAAACCTTATTAATGATGGTTTCAAAGTCATTTTCAGTTCATCTAGCTGTTGATTTTCAAATGTAAAGTCATATCAATCTATCATCCTTTCCCATGTTAATTTATGAATAGAATATTTTTTATTTGGTTGGCAGGCTGTCACTGACTTCTAAATGAACAAACGCAATGCAAGCGTTTTCGTAATGATATTTCATCTCATTGTTATTAGCACAATAATTCTCTTTACATGTCTGTTCAGATTATGTTATGTGATTCCAAAACTAAAGATTGTGTGTTGAAAATACCTTTTCTTAACTAACATTTGGTCTTGTCTATTGTATTACCTTGACAGACTTCACCTAATACAAGCTGGGAAATATTCATCATCCTATTGATAAAATTTTACTCTGGCTTGAAAATTATGCAACTGCTAAAAGAAAAGCCAGAGCCAAGTAAACTTTGATTAACAGCCCTCCAAAAAATCCACAAGTTTTTTAAAAGCCATCATTTTATAAAGATTTTCAGAAAAGTTACATTGTTCTGTAGTTTAATCAGTCTTACTTTCCATTTGCTCTCCAGTGAGGTGACATAGATCATCCCTGGTAGAAACGTTTTCCCTCATTTGCTTCTTGTACTCCCTATCTATTAATCCAATTGGTAAGAAATTCAACCTCTTATTACCTTCTAGGTAACAAAGTTAATCTGATAAACTAACCCATGGCAACATAAATTTAAAGCAATATTTTACTAACATACTTTTAACATATTTTTCATTGAGAAAATGTTACTCAGAATGTTCTTTCATAACCAGTTTTCTTATGAATAATTAATGAAGAGCAATTTTCCAAAGATTGAAAACTGACATTCTAATGGTGAATATTTTGTCTTTACTCATAGCTGCAAAATATAAGCAATATATTAATATAGAATATTCTTCATAGTCTTGCTTTCTTTGTCATATTTTTTAACTCCTACTGAACTGATAAAATATACACAGAGGTAAAGTGAAGGAATTTTCTTCAAGTTCGTACATTCAAGGACTGACAGTCCAATAATTAAAACTTACAATTCTTTGGGATAATTAGAACTTAGCAATATTGAGTAGAATCTTGCATTTCTTTTAGTAAATTTGAACATAGATTTTCTGCCAGACTTTTCCCTATTTAAAAAGATATCAAGCCATTTTAGTCTTAGGGTTTAGTAACCCACTGTAGGGTCATCGTGGGATTATTTCTAGTAGTTTAAACTGGAATCAGCACAAATGGTTATCATGGGAAAATAGAGCAATGCTTTACAGCAAAATCTAACCTCTGATACACACTACATGGATGAATCTCAAAACACAACGTTAAGCAAAAGTAAAGTCAGAAAAAAATCATGCTATTACCATGCCACTTGAATAGTGTTCAAAATAGGCAAATCTAAAACAGTGTTTAGGGATGCAAGCTTAGGTGGTAAAACTAGAAAGAGAAGCAAGAAATACTTACTACAAATGTTACAATAGTGGTTTGAGGAATGGAGAGGGGACAGTGATGGAGGAGGGGCAAGAGGGGACTGTTAGGGTCTTCAAATGTCCTGTTTCTTGACTTGGCTGATTAGTGCATGAATACTCACTGTATGATAAACTAATGACTCATACATTTTCATTTCATTCACCTTTATATATATATATATATATATATATTTACAATTAAAAAAAGGTTGAATATAAAGAAAGTGGGACATAACCTTATGCTAATTTCTGAGGGTACTAAGTCTGATGTAATGACATTCTTGTCATTGAAAACATTTTAAACTATTACATAAGATACTATTCCTTTTTGTCTAAGAGTGTTATTTATCCCATTCAATCTACTAACAGACCTTTGAGTATAATTCTCAGAATGTGTGTGTGTGTGTGTGTGTGTGTGTGTATATATATGTATATGTGTA